ACTTCACCTAATTTGTATTAATTTTTTTTTTTTTTTTTTTTTTTTTTTTTTTATATCACCTAGTTCATTCAAATGAACTTTTCGTTACAATATAAGTGCATTAAATCGTTGCTTCGTTAATTTATTTTCTAATAAATAGTTGTTATTCGTTAAATTAAGTATATTACGTTTATGCTATGATGAATTAATCGATTCAACTTGCCGTCTGTATCCCGCAAACAATAATATTATATTTTACCTGTAATTACAAACAAATAAAACTGTCTTAAAATCCGTTATTACACAAATTCAAAAAAAAAAAATACTATTTTATATACTTCATAAAGCACGTTGCAGTGTGCACTTTATGGCGCATTGTATTATTCATTGTAAAAAGTGAATCACAGCACAATATATTACAATATTTTCATGCGTTTATTTTTCTTTTGTGTAGTGTACAAGTTTGTAAGTGTACGTTAATATCCTATTTAGGTAATAACAACAAAGATTCGTTACAACGAAACGACTTACTTATTTCACGCGTAACTTAACATTATTGACATTGATCATTTCTTTTCACATATTGAGATATACATACATATATATGTGTATATTTTTTTTTTCTTTCCTTCTATAGCTCAATATAAATTTTATGACTAGTACAATGCTTCATCTTTTATAAAATATTCGTTTTTTTTTTGTCATATAGCTACAAGGGCAAGTTCACTTATTGCATACGATTTAATGAATGTGTATAATAATAACAAATACGAAGATTGGTGGTGTAGGTATATGATTAATAGTACTTTGACCGTACATAGTATTCTACAATCTTCATCATTTGTTCAGATACAAGGTGACATTTAATTTTCCGTACGATCGTACATAAACCTTAATAATTCATGAATACTCTCTTCACTATTTAACAATCTGTCAATAAATGATCGATTGTACGCAATGTTATATTAAAAACAAAAACAAAACAAAAAAAATCACTTATAATTTTATAAGATATTATTTAAGGTGCTTATAGTTTAATGTAAAAAGATAATTTATCAACTTCTTTTTTATCGATCAAAATGACTTTTGTTATTTCACATGATAATAATGTTTCATAGTTTGAAAACGTCACGGAACGTTATAATAATAATGATACTTGTGCGCACACTAAAAGGTAAAATTAATACGAAGTGTAAGACAAACAATAGTAATGGTATCGCACGAGGATCTCGAAATTAAAATTTTCAGCTTATAGCAAGTAATAGTGAAGTTCTTTATTCCGCTCGTAGAATATGATCGACGAAGCCGTCGTTAATTTTGAAATCCCCGCGCTTATCACCTCCTTCTGATAAATTTTCACTCCCAGAAAAAATAAATCTATTACAATCAATTAAATATAATCTTCGCCTGCTGTTCATTACTGTCGAATTTCACTCCCAGAACAAATTACAAATTATTAAGAAATGATAAGCGCTAGTTAAGTCCACCATCGCAACGCATAATTTTTAATTAAAACCTCACGACTCTGTTGCTAATTGTACAATCAAATGCTTCGCGATACAACAGCGAATAAATGCGATTCTTTCGCGCAATAGCGAGAAACATATGCGCAACATTATAAATAACCGGAGGCAAGCCGACATTGCAATTTTCGAAAGCCAGCTAGCAAGATAAATTGAAAAATTCGCTAATTTCTTGGCTGCCGGATCGCTCGTTCGCACGTAATATAAAATCCGGACTTTCACGTGGCAGCCATAATCGCGCAATGATATCAATTGGTTAAACGACCGCCTCAGAGACAGTAGCGATTACGGTGCGTTATAAACAATAAATATTGAAGCGATAACGACTGTCAAAGGCAAGAGAGGAAATATCGGCGTTGGCTGTGCACACGTGAATAATCGGAGAAATCACGGAAATTTAAATGTCCAAAGAGATGTGAGACTGCTCGAGCTCTAGGAAATGCCGAATAAAGCAATTGGATGAAGAGAATAACGTACGTCACGGACCACATTTGTATAGCGTTCGCGAAACTTTGAATTCATATCGGCATTTTTCTTATTGATCTACTCGCAACGAACTTTGAAAAACTATAATTATATTGTACGTAAAATAGAAATTACCAGCTTCTATAATCTTATACGATTTCCATCCAATATGTTAATAATCCGTGTTTTGCACTTTTAATATAATCTTGCATTACGTGAAATTGCTTTTGATATTCTGCATCATCGCCGTTTTCCTTCTATTATTTCTTCTTGTCTTTTCTATTTTCTTTGTTTTTCGTTTTTTTTTTCTTCGTTTCTTTTCTCCATTTTTTTTCTTTTTCGGTTGTTTTAAAAATCATTTCTAATCAAATTTTAATACTGTTGAGCCGAGATATTTCAATTTCTTTAACGTCACTTAACAACTGTTTCGCCTCTAGAGCCACCTACTTCCAACTTTCCCAACACACAATGTGTCCAAATAAAATCCAAATGCAATTCAACGGCTTGAAAGCTGCATGAATTGAAGTTAAACCTACCTACCTATCTACCTACCTACCTACCTACCTACCTATCTACCTACCCCCCCCCCTCCACCACGTACACACAGACAGACACTACTCCCCACCTCGCATCCTCCTCGCCGTCACTCCACCCGCCTGCTTTCCATAAGTGACTGATGGCAAATATTTGAGCGATCTCGCGATTCCGATCGTTTCTCATAAACGCAATGTAAGCATCTAATTTCGACTCGATGGAGAACGTATGAAGCGTAGAACGTGTAAATTCTCAACAATTGAGCACCCGAGTACGAATCGAGCGGTACTGTTATTCAGCACTCGAGCGGCCCCTATCAATCAAAAATAATTACTTCGCACTCCCGGCAGCATTTCGCAAGGAAGCTTCGGGAGGCCGATGATATCTTATCCAGCGCGTCCGTGGCTCTTGGTGGAGTCTCCAAGAGAGTCCAAGAGCCATGGATAAGAGGATTTCGCCGTAGTGCGAGCCACCGGCCCTTCCAACGGACAAGCTGCCAAAGTTGATTTCAGATCTCAAGGCCGCGTGCATCACCCGCGCCATGTCGATTTATGTGTAGCGCAAACGAAGGCGAGTCGCGCGCATCCGCGCTTCCCAATCCGCTTTCCAGCAGCGTAATCGCATTGACCCAGAAGCAAAGAATCGTCACTGCGCGAATGTCGCGTATCGTCAATGTGTGCAGCCCGTGATTTTAGCACAAGTTGAATCTAGTGTTGGCAAATAGTTCTTTATTGATGCGCGGGGTCAAGTAGCGCCTTACGCGTGCCTATGTGCTGGACGAATTCTAAGCTCCGTTCTTTCGAACAATGAACTTTCGTTGCCTTTGTCTATGATTGCAGCTGAACTGTTTGACATATTTATAATGTTGTGTATGTCGTGTACTTTTACGTGCACGGATAGAGTAGTTTCGCTATAAAATAGGTCGAAATATTAACGATATTTTTTTGGGCTTCCAAACCGTAGACATATAACGTAATTTTACTGCGCAATCGGTAAGAAATGTTATGATGGCAGTTTATGATGGCATTCGACATATATATATATATATATATATATATATATATATCGAGGAATGTACGAGTCTTCTTCCAGGGTGAAACTACTACCGATACAACGACTGCTCGAATCGAATGCACACAGCAATTATCTACCAAATTACATAATTGAGCGGCAGGAGCAAAATAAGCCAACATTGTGGCAATTCTAAGGATTGTCAACAACGTTTGGCTCCCAAACAAATTAAGATCTAAGGTAAATTGTCGATTCATAATCATTCGTTGGCATTGATTTGCCGAACAACGATAAAATGAATAAATAAATGGAACTAAAACCTTTCGCCTTAAAAGCGATCCATGTCTCGTCCAAATTGCTTGATACCGCACAAAAGCCCATTCGTTTATGCGCAGATTAAATGTTGAATTTGCTCATTATTAGTTTAATTTGTTGGTAACTTAATGGAAGCCACGCTTAGTAAATATAGCCTCGGCTATATTAGTTTGCTTTTTAATTTGATTAATTGAATTTGGCGGTAGCTAAAAATTAAATACACAGTTTTCCAATTAAAATCATGCAGCTTCGGTAATTTTCATTATCGAATAGTTTCGTATTTGTGCGTTTGTAGAAATCTTCGTGATTGATTTTGAAAATTATATTCATTCCTCTTGGTCTTGTGTTCTCGCATAGTCATTGAAATCGCCTTGCAGCGCAATTTTTCCTGCGTACCTTCGTCAAAAACTGCGGTTTCGACGATCATTTCTTGTGTAAAAACGATCTGCGGTAAATCGCTCTGGCAGACAAGAATAACTTGCGGGGAGAAACTCGCCTAGTCTTTTTCTTTCTCTTTGTCTCACCGACGATACACTTTCGTTTCTCTTTCCGTTTGCGCTTTTATTTTCCACGCACCGCGTTCGCTGATTCAGTTCTGCCGTAATCGGATGATTGTTGTTCCATCGTTTGGTGAAAAATGTACAAACGAATCATCAACGAGGGCATGTCAATAGTATTAATTCTCAAGATGAACAAAAAATTCTATTATCCGAACATTTCGAAGAATTTCCGTATGTAATAAAGAAATTATCGACCAAGTTCACTTTGTTCAGAATCCAGGTGAAAGTAGCACATACCTTGTCAGCATCGGGGCAATCGTTGAAACGAAATCAATAATTGTAATAACCCCACCACAACCAGCACCTCCTCCTCCATCACCTTCTTATTATCATCCATCCATTTACAACCTTTTCAAAAAATCCTTAGTTGAATATCATGAAAACAAAAAGTAATGAAAGACGAGCCACCGACGGCGCAACCTTTTAAACTACTCGTCCACGTATACGAATTCAAAGTGGAAACAAATAACGTCACGCGCCTACGTCGAGACACGGGATTAGATTGGGGGGGGGGAGAGATAAACGTGGCGTTCGATAAGAGCCAACAAGCCGACCTCGGACGTCCTTACGTTCTTACGGCTACTTGTAACTAATACATTGTGACGATAATCAGGCGCTCGCAGGTGGAAAAGGTGTCGTCGGAGGTGTTGGCAACGAAGAAGAAGCCGTTATCGGTTGTAGTGAGAGCGGTAACCACGGAGTTATAACGGTGAAACCGCGACTGCATTGAACATTGCCAGGGCGACGAGCGAGTACTGCTGATTCGCGGGAAGGGCTCGTCTGATGCAATGAACGGCACCGACGGCCTTCGCGATAACCATTTCATATGTAGATGGGCAGCCGAAATTTATGTACTCATTGGCTTGCGGTGGAGAAGAAGCCCAAATTATAACGTACAAGCTTTTACTTTCTTGAGGTATGTCAATAATAGCCTAGGGCAGACATTTTTATTTGGACTCTTGATTAATGGTAATGTAAGTTATGCAAGGAATAAATAGGAATATCATAGATAATATAATATAATAGAACGTCGAAAGCGGATGATGGAGATTCGGTGCGATGCTGTTGTTGGTGATAAGCGTAAAATAAGTTTTCGAAGCCTTCGGAGACTCGAGTTTCCTAAACAAAGTTAATGTCATGCTTGAATGATGTGATTACTCTAAGCTTTTGGCTTCCCTTCCCATCATACTTCGATAAAAATCATTAATACTAATGCCTCGGCACTCTGCACTTTTTCCTTATTACAGCTAGTTGGGCAAGAAAAAGCAATAAAAAAAAAATAAAAATAAAAATAAAAAAAAAGCTGAACTTATCATTCATTCTAGATCTGCTAATGAAGAACTGAATGCTTTTGCAGTGAGGCCCAATCGCTCGCTCAAACTTTAATAAAAGAGGATTTTTTATTCCATCTTTCTTGTAAGTTGTAGAATCTGAATGTAGAGCGCAAATGGTTTATATCCATTAGTGGAATGTTTTCGTAATGGAATCGTTGCTCATCTTTTCTCTCGAAAAAAAAAAGAGGTAGATCGCCTCGCGCATTATGCAGTTAGTTTCTTTCTTGACAGATTGAACCATATTTTCAATGTAGGATTCGATGCTCCGAACTTATTGAGTAAACCTTCCCTTTTTATAACGATTGGCCTTATTTTCGGCCAATCTCGCTTAATGAATTTTTATGATTCGTACGTAGCTTCGTATTATGAAAGCTAATAATATTCTTTATGGTGTCTTAAGTATCGATGAAAAAATATTATCATTGCAATTTCGAAAGAGTATCGGAATCTTTGCTAACCATATAAAATTTAACGCTAATTGGATAACTTACGAATTATTAATTGCGTAAATAATTAATCGAAATCCATAATAATGTCGTGTTTACTTCAATCTCTAAAAATTTCACTTCAAATGAATTTCATTTTATCTCATGACAATCGAGGAATAATTTCATAAATTAGGTCGAGCACAAGTACGAGTTTCGAATAGTCTTATATCTATTATAAATGTTTAATAATATAAATCATATATATATATATATATATATATCAAACAAACAGCTTAGTGAATAAATTATTTTCACTTTTTTCTATCTTTCTTTTTTTTTTTTAAGTAAAATTATAGTAGAAAGAGAGATTAATAACAGTTTCATTAATAAAGATAGTTTATTAATATTTTGTAAACATTGTTTTATACATACATTAAAAATATTAAAGAAATATATAATCTATTTATGCATACATTCATGCACGACATATAAATTAAATACGTATATAGCCTTATGAACAATAAAAATGTATTTAAAAATAATGTTCGATCAAACCTTAAAAGTATTAAATATTTTTTCTAAATTACAAGTTAAAATTTTTTGTCTAACATGCATTAAACGTGTACATATTTTGAAAATCGCGTAACCTTAAATCCTGCTGTTTAAGAAGATTATTGTCGTTTGTTACTTTTAACATGAAAAAGAGGTATAAAGTGAAAAATTTAAATAATTATTTGTTTTAAAGATGGCTTATTACGGCAAAGAGGCTACAAGGGCAATTGGAAGGGAATAATTACTCGAGTATTATATAAACTTCTCCAATAATTGTCGCGCCAGCTTAAATAATCTAGTGCAGGTAGTAAGAGCGTTCAATGCGTAAAATAATTGCGATAAGTAAAGGAAAGATAGGAAAGAGAGCGAATGAAAAGCCAGCAGTACAGTATAATCATCGTGTATGCGTGACGGTAATAAATTTCTTAGATGTTCCCGGTAATTTCTATTCAGCGCGAAAAAAAGTTTTCCTCGCCATCATACTCGCCAAGAATCAGATTTCGCCGCTTCCTCGTACTCTGAGCCACATACCGCGCAGACGCACACGCATGCGCGTGATTGACAATGATTGAAGCGCGACAAGTTTCCGCAAGACCAGCGCCATGACCCGATGTTCAATATTTACCAGACATTCTGAACATCCCTCCTCCTCCCCCGCCGCCCCATCAACATCACTCTTTTAAATACATTAATCGTACAGACTCACGCAGAGATACACTTTCCAGTTGTTTTGTGGATTAATTCTTCTGGGCTCGGCCATGTCAGGGAAAAGTATAACGGTAGAAATGCCCCGTGAGAAAAGTATCGGGCTCATATTTACAAAATTAATTGCGAAATGACAAATTTGAGCTATTTGTGCTCATTTTCATCGGATAGATGCACTCGTTGGTACTCATAGCCAAACTCGTTTATTCAAAGAGCATTCGGTCGAATAATTAGCCTCGAGATAAAACATTATTAAATAATTACGAAGTGTTTCTGTAAGGCATTAATTCTGAGATTGGATATCATTTTAAACTAAGATTTTATGGCTTTTTCTGAAAATCTTGAGGAATGATAAAAATAGTAGATAAAAATAGTAGTAATTAAACAAGAAATAAAGGGGGGAGGGGGGAAACAAAGAAGATTATTAAGCGATTGATCAATTGCTTTGCAAATATGAAAATGGGCAATAAATTTTCATTTAAGCCATTAGAGGTTGTATAGCATTTAGATTACAAAATTTGGACATTAAATATTAAATAAATAATAAATAATGCAGCTCATAAAATTATCGTATACGTTCATAACGATTTCCATTACAATTAGATTTAATGATAGTATCAATGACAATTGTGTTTGAAATTATTCGTTATTGACGTAACTATTTCTCATATGTGATAAAAGTTTTATTGCGTTACAAATAAACGTAAGTCATTAATTAATTATGCATTGTACAAGCATCCAAACATAAATAAACATATTTCTACGTAGCATAACGAGACTCATAATTCATGTCATTCGGTAATATCAGATGTTATTAAAAATTTGATGTGTTTCTAAGATATAAGATATATTCGATGTTTTATTCTGACTAAGCAAAATGCTAAAACTGAATGAATTTTAATGCTGAATTTCATGTGTATTAATGAACTTTTACTGGAACATTTGTTCCAATAATGATTTGTAATTTTTCCTCTACGAAGCCACGTCGAAGATTAAATTTCCAATCTCATTGCAGCAACTTGCATTATAAGTAATTATGTCACTATAATCTGTTAATCGGGACTGAATTACTTAATTGGTAATTTATTTTTAGTTACACAAGAAGTACTTGAATAAAATGCAATATCAGGTATCGGTATGGGTTTTATTTTAAAAATGTTTGTGAGAAATCCAACGATATATTAACAGGCAGCTACGAGGCGCAAATTTTCCAAGCAATTTTTTCAATTTAAATACAAGAATACTCATCCTTTGTTAAGACTCTGTTAACAAAAGCACTGAATACGAAAAACGACACGTTTCGTCCTTCCATTGTCCCTTTCATCTCGGACTGTACATCCCTCTCGTCTTTTAATCTGCCGGCGCATATCAGCTCGTCGTCTCTCGATTTCCATTTCCTCGCTCCTTCTCGAGTTCGTGTCTTTCGTCCTCTTCTCTCTCTCTCTCTCTCTCTCTCTCTCTCTCTCATCGCTCCTTCCTTTTCCACTTGTAGCAGTCGAAACTCTGGAATTTCCAACTCTCGAATCTGCCGAAGATCTCTTCGCGGCTCTTTCACCTTCGCTCCCCTCATCCCTTTCAGAACCACCAACCCCATACCCACATCCACGTCTTTTTATTTTTCCCCCAGTTTTATTCAAGCTGGGCGTTCCTTTTAGCGCCTGCCTCTTGTTTTTGCACCGATTGTCGCCAATAATTCTTCCATTTATTCGTCTCGTACTTTTTAAACGACCTCGCTTATTCGTACGTTCCCCGAAGCTCACGCCAAGTTGTGCGTCAATTTCCGGTTTACACTCGCTCTCTGCCTATCTGAGACAAACGTGGTGGAGAATTTCTGACGGAAAACGGTTTTTGAATCTCTCGCCAGTCGCTTCTTCACCAACTGATGAATTTTTGATGGATCGTTTTTTTTTTCTACTTCTTTTAAGGCAAGTCAACGGGAATCAAGCTTAAAACGATTTCCACTGTTATACTTTATTATTAGGCAAATTATTAATACTATCTTGCTTCATATATAATAAATAATTGAATATTCAACTGAATTAAGAAACTAAATCTACCATGTACCATTAAAAACTTAGGTTTATTATTATTAAAGTATTATATTTTTGTACAAGACTCTCCCTGTCCTTTTAAATTTATTCAAACAGGCTGATTTATATTATGCATACACGAAAAAGTTAACAATGAAAATCATATTTACGATAATGCGCAATATTAAATTATCCTTCCTTTAATAACAAGGTTTCGTATAATTTTTTAAAATTTCTTTTTCCATCAAGTTTACTGAACGCTTTATCTTAAAGAATCTATAAATTCATTCTCACTTGCATATCTGTACATTCACAAGTACAAAAAATATGAGCAAACCTTTGCCATTTAAGCCTTTGCATTTAAGCTGATTGACTGATCAATAACGGGAGTGAAAGTATTAGAAACCGAAGACACACGGTTATATTGAAAAAATTGTATTGGCGCATAATGCAAATATACACGGCTTTCAATCGTATAGATCATAAGCATACAATGTGTATTAATCGCATTGTCACCGATACATTTGCACTCCATTTTAATGTAACGACAACTGAGAAAAACAATAATATAAAAAAATGAAATGTACAATGCAATTTATTTAAATCGCATTTTTATATTATTTTGCATTGTTAATGAAAAAATCATTTGGCATGTGTTACATACGTATTTTCTTAGATTCC